CTGGGTCCGGGGACTTGGGGGCTCCGCGCCCGGCTGCCCTAGCTTCCGCGATCTCTTCCTTAAATCCGCTTCCGCTCCTTGTCTCCGCGAAGTGATTTACTCTGGTTTGCAAACTCAGACCTGTTTTTGTTCAGAGGAAATAGTTCAATAGGGAACTGGGGGGGGAGGGAGGGGGCTCACGTCTGGGGACCTTTTGAAATCTTTTGCCTCTCGATTTTGTACGGTTTTTAATTATTAGATCGTTCTTCTGCTCTTTGTTAATACTATACTTGGACAAGCACATATTGAACCCTGAGAAAATTCGGAATCATGGTTTTGTAAATTCTTTACATAGGTCCTCAAAGGTGAAATATTACTTGAACTCACTGAAAACCTTGCATTTTTTGGTGCGTTTTAATAAAGGAAATAAGTTGACTCTCTGTCTTTTTTAATATTAGGTGGGGCAAACGTAGGTTTACCATTGTGAGTACGTGAACCACTTTATTCTTGTATGATTTTTATTAACCGCTGTGTTTTCCATAGGAATACCTACTTCTGCCCCACCCTGTATGTAAGTTAAAGGGATTAAATTGCAGCATCACTTTGCTTGATAAAACCAGGTGAATGTGTGTGTTTCAAAATTTGGGGGAGAAAACTACTATGTGAAAGAAAGACCTGTTGAGGGATGATGGGTTGGGTAGTGCTTCATGCAGTTTCAGTTAAATATGTATGGGTGTCTCTGATCTAAAAGGTGCTTGATTTAGAGAAACAGGACATTTTATGAGATAGAAATTATATAATGTGGACCTTTATAGTGAGAAATTCGTTGTACTGTATTACAGATTTGTCTTGGACTTTGTCCAAGGAAGTTTATTGCTGTATGCATTCCGAGGGCCTTACAGTGTGGTTTTAGTTATAATGCAGTCACGGCTGCAATGGTCATGTTTATTGAGGGCTTAGTTGAAAATGAGGGGTGGAGGGAGGATAGAGCTGTACATCAAATATTCTCAAATTATTATTTACTACTCAGGTTATTGATTAAGTACATAATATAATTTGACATTCAAGATAATTCTCCAAAATACATAACGAATTAAAGGCTTAACATATTTTTCCACTTTTGCTTGATTCTTAAGATACTGTGCAGTAACATGAAAGCCTTGATGGAAAAATAAATTCTGTCTAACCTTGTTTAAAGTGATAATGACTTAAGGTAATAAGTTCAAGTTTTCATAATTCAATTCATTTGGCACACAATAATGTTGTTTACACTATTTAAACCAAGACAGCGATAACTCATAATTTAAATTTTACAGTATTTTGTTGGTATCATCTCTTTAATGAAAGATGCTGTGATTTGGGTTTTATCTTATAAAACTCAGGTGGTTCTTTATGCCATTTGTAGCATAAAAGAACTGCTTTCTCCAGTCCGTAGGAAGGATTAAAAGATTATGCTGTGTGTGTTTTTTAGTGCCCATGCTTATATGATGTAGGTTTTTCCATAATCAATGAAAATGTCTATTTTTTAAAAATATATTTTATTGATTTTTTACAGAGAGGAAGGGAGAGAGATAGAGAGTTAGAAACATCGATGAGAGAGGAACATCTATCAGCTGCCTCCTGCACATCTCCTACTGGGGATGTGCCCGCAACCCAGGTACATTGCCCTTGACCGGAAACGAACCTGGGACCTTTCATTCTGCAGGCGGATGCTCTATCCACTGAGCCAAACTGGTTTCGGCGAAAATGTCTATTTTTAAATATCAGAATTTTAAAAAAGTTTGCTTCTTCTCTCACAACCACAACACAAATTTCTTTGTGGAATTTAATGGTGGTGGTGGTAGGGTAACTCTACTGTCCTGAATGATAGGAACATATTATCCTTCATTGGACAACTGTAATATGATGCTATCTCAAAATGGTCATATTTACCTTTGCAAAATTCTTTAACCATTTGATACCTGCAGGAATCTTGTGATGTAGACAATACAGTTGATAGTCTAAAACCCCATTGAAATCACTTTTGGCAAGAGGAAGAATTTGGATATTGATTCAGTATGACCTTCCTCAGTCTCTTGTTATTATGAAATGAAATAATGTATGTAAGAGTACCTTGAGATCTGTAAGTAACTATACAAATATAAGAATTACTATTCATCCAGTTGGATTTCCGTTTTCAATCCAGTAGCAAATCCTGTAGGCTCCACTTTCAAAATATATCCTGAATCAGACTCATTTCATCATCTTTCTGAAACCACTGTTCAATTCCATCATTTGTTGCCTGGCCTACTATATCAGTTTCCTTTCGGCTTAAAAGGAATTTAAAAAAAAACATATTCTATTGATTTTTTACAGAGAGGAAGGGAGAGGGATAGAGAGTTAGAAACATCCATGAGAGAGAAACATCGATCAGCCGCTCCCTGCATACCCTCTACTGGGGATGTGCCTGCAACCAAGGTACAAGCCCTTGCCCACAATCGAACCTGGGACCCTTCAGTCCGCAGGCCAACACTCTATCCACTGAGCCAAACCGGTCAGGGCAAAAGGAGATTTTAAAAAAAATATAGATCATGTCACTACCCTGCCCAGAATTTTTCAAAGGTTCTGCATCCATCACACTTAGAATAAAATCTTGACTACCCCCTCCCACCCCCCACCTCCAATACCTATAAGGTCCTCCATGTCACTGGGATCTGCCTACCTCTGAGATTATCTCCTGCATTTCACTCCTTTTGTTGCTCCACTTCAACCACACTGTTGCTTTGCTGTTTCCTATACACTGGAACCTTGTTTATTCCAGTCACAGGGCTTTCCTCCTGTTTATTGCATTGCTTATTGTTCAGTTCTTGGCTTACATGACATATCTTCTGAAAGGTTTGCCTTAGGATTCCTAAAACACAGTTTTCCTCTCCCCCTCCTCCTAGTTTCTCTTCATTCTCATATTTGCCTCTCTTCTGTCTAGCATTTACCACTACCCCAAGTTATATTACTTACTTTTTATCTCTACTCCTACTAAACTCTATGAAGGCAAGGACTCTTGAATGATTTGGGCATTACTCTAATGTGTAGAACATGTAGTAGGCACTAATATATTTTATTGATTTCTTTTAGAGAGAGGAAGGGAAAGGATAGATAGAAACATTGATGAGAGAGAAACATCAAATACCTGCTGCCTCCTACATGCCCCCCACTGGGGATCGAGCCTGCAACCCGGGCATGTGCCGTGAACAGGAATCGAACTGGTAACTTCTTGGTTCTTGGGTTGACACTCAACCACCGCGCCACACCAGCCAGGCAGCACTGATATATTGATTGGGTGAATGGATGTGCTTCAGTCTCTTTGGAAGAAAGTTTTAGGAAAGTTATTCTATATCATAATGTGACAGTGTTACTACTTAGTAGCTTCTATCTGAACCAATCACTGTGCTAAACAGTCTCTTTTTCCACCCATAATCATTAAAAAACAAAAGCCAATCTTTTATTTTGTGAAATATTTGAATTGAAAGGTTCTGAAAGGTACATAAGAGGAAGATTTAAGGTTCTAAAAGGTACATAGAGGAAGATTTAAGACTCTCATCTGTCCTTCAGCATTCCAGTTTTATCCTCCCCAGACAACCACTATTTTTATTGTACTAATATATCCTTCTAAAGAACAGAGACTTAGTGCATGCATATATGTTAATCCCATTCCCTTTCTCATGCAAATACCTTGATTCTCTGCTCTCTCCCATTATATAGAAGTGAGTAATGCTGTAATGAAAAGTCTTACATATAGTGGTATTTTGCATGTGTTTGAGTTAATACTGAATCTTAGCAGTTCTGTGTTCAGCTAGATGCAGCAGTTCTCAACTTGTGGGTCACGACCCCTTTGGCGGTCTAACGACCCTTTCACAGGGGTTGCCTAAGACCATCCTGCATATCAGATATTTACATTATAATTCATAACAGTAGCAACATTACAGTTATGAAGTAGCAACGAAAATAATTTTATGGTTGGGTC